GATGAGTTGGTGGCACCACCACAGGAGGTTCCCGATGCGTACACGGACGCAGTGGCTAAGCTCCACAAGACCGCCAGGAACCTCATGGTCCTCAAGGGCATCCCGTGGTTCATCCAAGCGACGCTGTCTGATGAGGGCTTTGTCTCGATGGAGGACCTCGCGACCCGGTGGGACTCGCCCGACCGGGCAAGGGAGACGGCGCCGAGGGAGTTGGGCTTCGCCCCCAACAACAACCGCTACACGGATGTGACCTCCCGGCTGATCGCGGCCCGTATGTTCCAGGTGGTTCACGCGGCTCAACGATCCATGGGAGTGGGGGCACATGCAACATCGGGACCCGGGCCGCACACGCCCGGGGACACTGCCCCGAATCTCACGGTCTCGTGCGAACGGGGGCAGCTGGAGAGGGTTTGGGAGGAGAAGACCAAACTCACCAAACCCAAGTTGGCCCTGCAAGGAAGCGACCAGCTGATGAAGCGCCAGTTCAAACTCTGCGCTGGAGGCGAGATCGGCTTCATCCCCATGAAATACCTGGTAAGCGCACTCCCGGAACCAGGAGAACGGCCATGGAAGACCGCCAAGAAGACCACGGTCGATGGCTGGGACCGGGAGGACGAGGTGGAAGAGCGGGGCGAGCCGAAAACTCGCCACCAGCTCGAGAGGATGCACGCGGTGTTCCGGAACACCCTCCTCATGTGCGTCCTATCGTTTCCACAGTTCGGCCAGTTCGACATCACCCGAGAGGACCTGGAGAGCTGGTACGAGTGGTTCTATGGGGAGGACATCGGGGGCCGTTTTCCCCCTCCCGAGGACCACGTCCTGGCAATTGCCGAACGCAATGCATGGCGGAAGATTCACGAGCAGATGCATGAGGGCAGCACCCTCAAGGCGGCCATGCTGTCGGTAAGGCAGGACACATTGTTTTGGACACGTGAGGTCTATGAGAAGATCAGGACCTTCTCCAGGGGCCGCCCACAGACCAGGACATCCATGGACTACGCACCACCCCAGAAGGGCAAGAACAAGTCCAAGGGCAAGGGGAAGTCAAAGCCTGGAAAAGGTAAGCCCCCCCAGCCGAACAATCAGGCTTCCAGGGGCAGTAACAAGCAGGCGGCCACCGATCCGAAAGGGAACCAGTTCTGTAACAACTGGATGCGCGGGCGCTGCCCGGGCAACTGCGGACGCACGCACAAGTGCAACCTCATCCTGGCGACGGGCCGCATCTGCCTGGGAGACCACCTCCCGCAGGACTGCCCGGGTTGACTAGGGGCTCGGACCCCGACCCCCCGGGAGGCCTCAGGTGCCGAGGGCCCTGATAGGGCCCGGGGGGGCGAGAGGGGGCGAAAACGCCCCAAGCAGGCACATGAGCCCCCTCCTGCAGGTGCCGAGGGCCCTGACACAGGGGGGGGACAGGCCAGGTGGCGGCCCTCCTCGGCGGAACAAGGATGGGGACGACAGAACCAGCGTGCACAACACCCCAGCTGGGGTCAGAACAACCACACAGCTGACACAACGGCAACGCCGCAGCCCCGTGCCACAGGTGCCGAGGGCCCTGAGATGGCAGGGGCGGGACGGTTCCCCGCAGGTGCCAAGGGCCCTGACACGGGGGGCCGCGCCCAGCAGGCCCGAGTGCCGGACAACTGGCAGCACACCGCAACGCCGAGGAAGCCGATCCCACTTCCGGCGCCCAACATCATCAAGCAGGACCCGGTGGTTTTTCATAAGAGTTCTGTTGGGCTGAATGAAGGGGGCCAACGCCTTTCAGCTACCCCCCTGACAAGTCCCACGGGAGGGGACACCTTCCCGTGGATGGAGAACATCCCGGAGCGCCTGGCACAGCGGCTGAGATGGACACAGGGCACATCGCCCAAAGTTCCATCCAGTGGGCCCATCATTGTCCTGCTCTATGCAGGCAAGGAAGACCCAACTTCCTTAGACAGCTGTCTTCATGCCAACTACCCGCACCTCTCCAGCATGGTGGTGGCAGTAGACATCCTACGATCGGGACCAAAAGGGAACCACGACATGCTCCAACCCGAGCTGTATGGAGCGCTCTGCACGGCAGCAAAGCAGGGCCGAGTGGTCTTCATTGGGGGAGGACCCAACTGCAGGACATGGTCCATCCTGCGCCACATACCAAAACCGGGGGCCCCCACCCCGGTGCGAGGACGCACTCGAGAGACAGGGGGAAACCTTCCCCGGGGAGGCTCAACCCCCCCTTTCGGAGAATTTCCCCTTTGGCTACTTTGGGCGCCCTGATCATGACCCTTACCAGGCCCTGGATTGATAAGGTCCGGATGTCCCTGGCATCAGGTGCCACCACACACCCCTTCCAGGAAGCCGACCTCGAGGAGCTGCGGGCTATCCTAGGACCGAGGCACCTCCATGAACGATGCCCAGGACAACCCTTCCTCCTGGACTTAGTGTCGCACTTGGCATCCCTTTCAGGTGACCCTGATTGGGAGTTCCCCCTGACACTGAAAGAGGGGGTCCCCTTGGGAGTCTCGGACCCTACCTTGACCTCCCCGGGAGTTTGGCCCACTAAGGAGGAGCTTAAGGGAGAAGCCTGGCTGGGGGAAGACCCCCCCCCGCCAGTGGCTCATGATAACTACCCAACGGCTGAACTCTTTGCCAAGGAAATCGAATCAACCTTTTACGAGGAACGAGCCTTGGACATGGTGGACGGGCCCTTCACTCGCTCCGAGGCGGCGGAGAGGTGCCGCTGCAAACCGGAGGAACTTTGCCCGGGCCCCCTTGCAGGGATTGATGAGTCGGACAAGATCAGGACGATTTACGATGGCTCCAAAGGGGGAGCAAACGCACACATCCAGGCTCACACAGGGGAGAAGACCACTGCACCGATGGTCGGAGACTGCCTCCACGCCATCCACTGGCTCAGGACAGCGACGGACCATCCCCATCTACTTTGGGCCACGCTCCCGAACACTGAGGAGAGACCTCGGGATGTTCACCAGCCGGTGCAGGGGCAGTCCCCAGGTGCCGAGGGCCCTGAGAGGGACCCCCGCAGCACCAGCCTGCCCCCCAGGGCCGAGGGGCCTGATCGGGGCAGGGGGATTATGGATACCTCCGGCGGCATGGACGTCTCTCTGGGATCGACACCCTCAGGAAAGGGACCACTCCCAGATCCCGAGGGCCCTGATAGGAGGGCCCCCTTCCCCCCAACCCCCCCGGGCACGGAATGCCCTGGGGGGAGCGGGGGGGAACCCCTGAGATGGCAGTTGCCGACACAGGGGGAAACCTTCATCATCCTCAAGGCAGATGTCACCAAGGCCCACAGGCGTATTAAAGTGCTCCCTAAAGACTGGAAATACCAGGTGGCCTGCATCCAAAACCGGTGGTGGGTCAACAGAGTGGGCACGTACGGCATGGCCTCGGCACAGCTGTACTGGGGAAGAAAGGCATCCCTGGTGCTCAGGCTCTTGTACTACATCTTCCCCCATGTGGACTGGCACTTAGTCTTTGTGGACGACTACTGCTGGGTCCTCAGATGCAGCCGGGCGGACTGGGACGCCACAGCCATCTTGGCTACACTGCTGGCGCTGGGAGTCCCGCTTTCCTGGAAGAAGACGGCGCTCTCCCCGATCAATACCTGGTTGGGTTTTGTGGTGGACCCAATCACGCCCTGTGTACTGCTGGCTCCAGTCAAACACGTCATAATCCTGGCCACTCTTAAACGGCTGGCCCAGGGGGACATCTTCACCAGCAAGGAGGTGGAACAAGCCCTAGGCCGTATTCAATGGGCTACTTCGGCGTGCCCATTGACGAAACCTTTCCTCCAGCCTTTTTGGAGCTGGAAGAAGGCCTGCACCACTTCGGGCAGGCCACCGAAGCTGGTTCGTGCTCTGGCCATACTTTTGGGGAGACTCTTCAACCAGAGGTTCCCACTGGCATCCCCATTTGCTCCCACACTCCCATGGACGGGGGCATCTGATGCGGGAGCTGGCAGACAGGCGGACCATGCATGGGTGGGTGGTTGGTGCTCGGACGTGCCCAACCCCGACAAGTCCCGTGTTAAGTGGTTCCAGCACAGAATCACACCGGAGGGCGAGCCGTGGGCCTTCACTACTGGGGACCCGCAGCGGGCGATAGCGGCCTTGGAGCTCTTCGGCCTCCTCCTTTTGGTGAGGGCCGTTCTGCTTTGTGCAGCCGGCTCGGCTTCTCACACTAGGATCCTGGTGGCTAGTGATAACCAGGGAAATGTTTTCTCCCTTCTTAACGATTCCACTCGTAGGATGCCCAATGCGGCCATCCTCATGGAAATTGTGCTCACGCTGCATGACCAGCAGGTCATGTTGGGGCCGTCGCATGTGAAACGCGACTTCAACACGTGGGCGGATGAGCTTACTCATCCGGACCCGCAATTCCCGACTGAGAACCGGGTCTTCCCCTCAGTCGAGAGCGAATTGATCACACTGATCTTCGCTACTTTCCTTCCTCACCCATGATGCCGGGAGGGCATCCGGTGAGGTGGGAGGATTTCTCCCTCGCTGTGGGAGTGGCATCAATCCTACTCCCATCAGCTGCTGAGGGGAGCTGCCCAGTGGAACTGGGCAATCCTCCCATTTTGGCACTAACCCTTATGCGGCAAAAAAGGAGGCACCGTTTTGCGAATAAGGCCTCAGTAGCACCTGAGTGGTGCTTCAAAGAGTCAAGCACAAGAACTTGAATCAACTGGACCCGTGATTCCTTCCATGGAATCTTGAGGGGAACCCGCCCCAGTGGCCAATGCCCATGAGAGCCCGTTTCAGCCAGACCAGGCGAACTCTCCCAAAGCCAGATGCCAAACAGAATGATAGACCGCCCTTTCTCGATCCTCTGGCATCCTTCCCTTTCCTCTCCGAGCACCGCAAAGACTTTATGCTGACCTGTTCTGGCCTCCCTTCTCGCATCGGCCGGAGTTCTTTTCTCCTTGTAAAGCCGGCTTACTTTCCGGTTGAGGCGGAGGCGGTCGAAGTCTCCCGTGTCAAAACCCGGCCGAGGACGCGAGGCAGCTCCGCGAGGTCATCGCTGTTATGAAGCGGCGGAGGGCGTTCATGCCGGAGCCCCGTTTTTTTTTTTTAAACGACTTTTCCCCACGGCGAGGCGTCCAAATCGGAAAACCTTTTTGGGTCGACAAGTCGACAAATGCCAGGAATCCATGTGTGCTCGGCGTTTCCAGGTTTGTGCACTTCCATGTTTGGTGAGGGTAGTCGACCTGACATGAGCCCCGGAAAACGGCTGTGCAACCGGTGTTTGGAACTCAGGCTGGCCAACATGCAGGAGGAGTTGCGGAAGTGCCGCGGCCCAGATGGAGCAAGCGCTGGACGATCCCTTTTTGAGAAGGGTTGCGTGTGGGGGGTATATTGGGGGAGAAACAAATTGGAAGTCGAATCCAACCGGAACTCGTTGAAACGAGAACAATACCCCCCCCCCCCCCCCAAACAATCAATTCTCACCTCCGCAAAGAACAACCCCCCCAGCCGGCCCCCTCCCCCCCCAAACAATCACCCCCCGGCCCCCGAAAGAAGATCTCCCCCCCATTCTTGTTGAGGCGACAAGAAGACGATGAGAGGAAGACTGTCCTGAATTCCTGGAAGATTCGCATCATGAAGGCAGGGGTTGCATAGGCTTCCCTAGACACCTGAAGGGAGTGGTGAAAAATGGGAAGCCCAGAGGATACCCGTTGGGCCCTATTTTGACGCGCTATGTCAACCACAAATTCATCAACCTCTGGTTGATGAATGGTGGGTGTCCCCTGTTAGCGGGGATTCCGTCCACTGTTGGAGGGACACCCCCCTCTTAACATGGACGGCTTTCTACATCTGGGGGCAACAAAGTACCCAGCAAAAACTCCAGGTCCATGGGGCTATTGAGAGGCTGACATGCTTTCAGCATGGAGCACTGCGTGCCATGGTCAAAATTCGTCCCCGAGGTCCAAACACGGCCTTTGCTTGGGGAGTGCCTTCGAGACTCCAAACCGGTCACCCCCAAAAGCATGGTGTCCGTTTTAGTTTCTAAGCCTGAAAAGGGGACCCTCCCATCCGCCAACATAGAACCTGATTGGTTGAGTCGTGGGGACGTTCTTTCCTCTAAAAGGGCCCTTTGGTGGGTTCCATGCAAAAACCAATACGGCCCATGCGGCCCGTACGGCCGATCTGTACTTTGGTCGCCAGGATGCCTTTCAGAAAGAGCTGGACGACCTGGACGTGCGGCGGCGGAAGGAGGCGATGCATCCACAATGTCTCAGATCGACCAATCTGCAAGCACTTGAACCAAACAAATATGTGACATGATGTGGGTAGACCATGTCAATGCCGGGTTTTGATTGTGACTCACTGGCAGAATCAACATGGGGCCGGGATAAATGTGGATACTTGAGGATTGACACGGGGATGCTGTGGATGGGATGCTTGGGTCCGTTTCGCGCTCCTTCAGTTGAGGAGAAGTCGATGGCCATTCTGGGTGTTTCTCCCGTTTCGCGGGGCTGCGAAATGGGTTTACTTCTTGGTGGCCCTTTCAACCCCGCAAAAAGCAAAAAGCGGGGGCCGCGGGCCCGAACTCCATTTTCACCCCTCCCCCCGAAACTCCATTTCCCCCCCCCCAAAAAAAAATGAAGCAAATAGTACCCCCCCCCCTCAAAAGAAAGAAGAAGAAGAAGCAAATAACAACCCCCCCCCAAAAAAGAAAAGAAAAGAAGAAGAAGCAAATAGTAAAAAAGACAAACACAGGCAAAGACAAACGATCGGCCGATTCCAGGTCCGAGAGCTACAAGAACAGCTTCTCACCGACAGGACTCACATCACGGCGCTCCAGGCGCTCCGAGTGCAGCCGGGGCGTTTCGGCGTTTTGGCGTTTTGAGTTGTTCGCCCGTGACTGGGTAATAGAGGGGCTGGGGTTGAGTTTTTGGAAGGCCTTGGGCGTTTTTGTTTTCATGGATGAATTTGAGACGGCGAGACTTGTTTGTCACCTTTGGCGCCGAAGTTGGGCTTTTCTTCAGGCAGCTTTAGCGTTTTTAAGGCAGCTTTAGCGGAGAGCGGAGTCCTGATGCAACACATGCAGAGCTGTCGCCCGAGAAAACCAGGACAATACAACACAACACAGAATGGCACAACACAACACACAAATTTGTTGGACCATGTTTGCCTAAAGTGTCGATCGCAGGCTGCAAACTGTACCTTCCAAATGAGTGCCGAGCCGGATGATGGACTTTGCCCCCCATCCACGAACAGCTCCATTTGGAAGCATTCACTGTTCGTGGGCAGGGCAGAGACCAATCTGTAGGATGCCACCGATGTTTGGACTCTGGTTAGAGCACTCAACCAAACTCTCGAAGAAGCAAAGCACGACCTATGTAGTGGCTACGCTGAATGCTTTCTTTTCCATCTACAGCAGCACAGGTGTTGGCAGATTTCCCGGCCACAACAACAAAGCCCAGGTGGTATCCACAGCCTCAGACCGCTGAAATCTGCCCCAAACTACCCCGATCGAGCCGATATCTCAAAGAGCTGTTGGAAGAAGCTTGCAAGTCTTTTTTTTTCTTCGTTTTTTTTTTCTTTCTTTCTTGTTTCCTTTTTTTTCCTTTTTTTTTCTCACGTTTTCTCAAAGGTATAAAGGTAGCCGCCTGGACATCCACTGGCCGCCTGGAAATCCTCGCGGATCTGGCAGGTCCATGTGGAGCAGCTGAGGGGCAAGCTGCGGCAAGCGGCCCACCGCATGGTGGCCAGGGCCTGATGCCGACGTTGCGGGGAAGTGAGACTCGCTGGGCCGTGGTTGTCAAAAACGTTGTGGTTGATCCCAGTTTGGTTGGGATAGGTGAATTCACCACCCACTTTAGAACCTATTTCAGTAGGGATCGAATCGGAGGTTCACTGAGGGCTACGGCATTTTGGATCTTGAAAAGCCCATGGCCACTTGCAAGCGCACCGACTCCGCGAATCGGCTCAACTCCGGATCTGACCTTTGGGTTCCCCAGATTTTGTGTTTGGCCCGCGGCGATCACCTTGTATCTTCCCCAGAATTAGCTCCCCTTTTTGCTTTTTTGCTTTTTTGGGGTTCCCTTTGTTTTCCACTAACCAGGCAAAAACTATATTTTTTGCTGGGGTTCTAATTCCAGCCCGGGTATTTCTGGGTCCCGGGGCAACTGAGAAGATGCTTTTGACTTTCTTCTAGTTGTTCAAGCCATGTTCAAGAGGCTGACAATTAGCGTTTGTTGGGGTTTGTTAGCCTCTTTCAACAATCATGGAAGTGTACAGGGGGGGGTTCCCCAAGAGGAACATCGTCTTCCAAAATTCTGTTTGCTTCCATGATTGTTGGAGGGTAGATGTTTCACGTTGTCATATTCAAGGGGCGCCCAATGGCGAAAGCAACTAGCAACAGAACAAAGCAACACTTTTGTCGATAGGATTCTTGAAAGGCGGCCAGAGGATTACATTTGGATGATGGGCCATAAGAAGCAATCACATTGACTATGCAGGTCCTGAGAGAGATTGACGGCTAAATGGGCGAGTCAACCCAACCAGCTCTTCAATCCTCTTGGGAAACCTTCGTCATTTCGTTTCGTTTTTGTCATGGTCAAAGCACCAGTTGACTTCGGCTTGGTATGGATGGACCCGTTTTTGGGGATTTTTCGTACAACCCGCGGGATTCCTTGTGACTTAGCCATTCCCATGGCTGTCGGCTGCCGGCTTCTGGGGAAGCAGACGCCGACCTTCCCTGCCCATGGGGCAACACTTTTTTTTGGTAAGGGTTGCCAGAGCGGCGATCGATTTCCGTGAGAAGGTTCTGCTCCATGTTCGGATGCAAATCGGTCATGTGTCGGAATTTCGGATGCACCCAACCGCCCAGAGTGGCTTGGGTTTTCCTTTTTTGGCCAAGCCCAAAGAAGAGCTCGCCCGGAGCCTTCGCCTTCGCCAGCGCCCGTCGCAATCTCCGCTTCAGCCGACGCCCCAGGAGCGGTCGATGAGCTCCAAAGTTTGGCCTTTTGCCCAGAGCCACGCCGGCGCCCCGGTCTTCGGTTTGCCGTCGCCGGTTCCGGGGGTTCCTTCGGTCGGGGCGGCGAGCTGCCCTGCCCTGCGGCCCTGAGTCATGTGCGGCGCTGGAGAATGCTGAAGATTTATAGGTTGAAGCTGAGCTGGGGCCGGAAAATGATGGCTGAAGCTTTTGGTGGGTTGAAGGGGATAGAAGAGGACACTCATGCGTCGATTTAGGGGACGAGCTTGAGAAATAGCCATACGGATGAGCGATTTGGAAGGCCTTCCAGGCACTTCCCACCCACCCAAACGAATTCTCAAGAGTCGCAGGGTGTCCCTCCTGATCTTGCAGGTACCTCTTGCTTACCTTTCACAGGTACCCTTTTTGGGGTTTGTTTTGAAAGTGCACCAAGAGCAAGCCACTCACTTTGGGTTCCAAGTGCTACTGTGGTTGGACGAAATCCTGCACCACCTACGAAACCCTGGAATGATGGTTCCCCTGTACATACCAACCAACAATGGTTTCCCATGGCTTCCAAGTGGTGCAGGATTTCGTCCATCCACAGTATTTTGAGACACATGTCTAGGTCGAACATCCGGTATAAGCGACCTCCAGGCGCTCCGGGCCTGGTGCGGCATCCATCCCAGCGTGGTGCTGGAGAATGAGCTGGAAAGGACCAGGAAGAAGCTGCAGGACCGGTGGGATTTTTTGTTTTCGGGTGGAAGTACATACCCCTTGTTCTTACCCCTTGGCTTCCCTGGTTTCCAAGCCACTTTATAAGGGGTACATACCCCTTTTGGGGAGAGGGGTATGAACATCAGCAGGCCTTTTGGGTTCATTTGCCCAAGCGGTACAAGGGGTATGTACAAGCACCCCTAGATGGTTGTTTCTTTTGGCACAAGAATATGCCAAACAGTTCGGTGGTGTTTGGGATTGGTGAGTTGAGTACTGAACAACAGGCCGAAATCGAATTCCGGTGGATATTTTGCCGTGCGCAGGCATGGATCGGCCCTGCTACAGATTCGCTGTTCCCCCCCCCCCCAACGGGGGGCTTCACGTTTTCGTGTTGGTGAACTGTTCAAGCCAAGCATTGGTTCTTCCCGGGACCAGCCGAGCATCGGTGAGGAGACAGAGGATGCTCTGGATGAAGCCAACCAACGAAGAGACCTCAGACCGCCAGTTGTCACCCGCCAGTTCAGCATCACACAGATGGCACATTGGAGCCCTTGGACATTGGTCCCTCAATGTCCCCTTTTTGGGGCGCCTCCAAAAGTGGCACTTTCAATGGAAGGGGAACTGGTTGGATCCGAAGGCGTGGAAGCGCTCAAAGTGGAGCTGGAGCAGACTACCACGGAGAGGGACGCCTTGCTCCAGAGGCGGGGTGCGAAGACCTGCCGAAACCGGCAGCGGACGACTTTTTTTTGCTTGGCTCATCGAAGTTCTGGTCCTCAGGATCGAGGCCGTGCTCGCGGAGATGGAATACATCAAGGAGGCAGCGCCTCAAATGGCCGTGGGTCAAAACCGTTTTGGGATCCCATTTTGGGGGATGGGTGCACCAGCCATTTTAGTCTATTTTAGTGGGGATTGGGATGTTCACTGGGGGTACGGGATTTGACCCATGGCCAAATCATCTCGTTGGCGGCAAAATTCGAGTGCTCAAGCCGTTGCTTGGTTGCAGGAAGCAGGACTGGACGAAGACTCCATTGCCAGAAAGAAGGCTGCGGTGAAAGCTCATGAGGACGGCCTCTGGCGTTTATCTTCTTTTTTTTGCATTCTCTGCATGGTTTGGATTGTATTTGTCGCATTGGGTTTCCAGGATGAGTGGAATCGCAGACTCAAGGAGGCGGGGATAATTGCTTGGCCAGCATCCAAGGGTGTGTGCATACTGGCCAGGTGCAAGACAAGTTGGACGAGCTCCAAGAACTATATGACACCGAGACGGACCGGACCTGCATCGATTCGAAGCGGAGTCCATTTCCCACAGCCCTGTTGTTGGGTGCTGGGAGGGTACACGCCAGCCATTTTTGCTCAGGAGACCCTGGCGAAGCAGCTCAAGGCGTCTGCCATTTGCATGTTCGCGCCAGTTTTTGCGCGCGCTTTCCTGGAGCCAGATGCAAGTCACCCGTCAGGTGGGTGGTTTGGTTTGCCCGGTTTGGATTTGAAGCCCTCCGGAACACCACCAAACCGGCAATTTGGCTCCAAGCCACCAATTAGAGGCAAGCTGAACCATGCTGCACGCTTGGGCCAATGTTTGGCTCCTTCCTTTGGGCATTCCGCTTGAGCAAAAGAATGTCCACGGTGTCTGTTGTTTCGTTCTGATGGGGAACGTTGCTAAACGCAAACAACGATACGCGGGATGTTTCCGGGAAAAGCTACGCGCAGCAGAAATTTGTGCAAGCTGGTGCCAACTGCCCTATGAACCGTTCTGCCTGCGGCATGGCTCCCACGCCCGCATTTTCTAAGGTCTCTGAAGGCATCTGGGCACCAAAATGGCTGTTTTACTCCCCCCCCCCCAAGCAAGAAGGGATTTATGGAGGGTGTCTACCGACTTGGGTCCCCTCAACCCCTTCCCCCCCAGCCCCCATTACATGCAATTCCCCCCCTCCCTCCCCCCTTCCCTCCAGGAAATACAACACATGTCTTTGCTTCTTTCTCGCGCAGGCAACTCAGTCGAAGCTCGCCATCACCCAAGACGCCCTGAACGCCACTTCCATGCGCCCGGGCAGCGGGTCGGGGGCCGAGCGGGCAGTTTCCGGGTCGGTTTCAGAGGCTCCCGTGTTGCCTGGGAAGCTGCCGGTCTCTACATGTCCCCTTTGAGCGCTTTGACCCGGTTTTTTGAGTACCTTCCGGTTGCCACTTGATGCGTTGATGTCGAAGCGGGAGTTCTTTTTTTAGGGAGCCCTGAGAAAAACAAAAAACGCGACTTGGTGGCGAGCTGCGCGGGCTGCGAGGCTTGGATCCCTCACAATTTCACGTCGGAGCCATCACATGTCGATCCGAAAAAATCCTGGGGGTTTGATCAAGATTCCAGGCCCCCCAACCCCCGAAAGGACCCAGGCTAACTTTTCCCATGTGGGACATACTGTGGATGGCTGCGAAATACATCCTGCACCACCTAAGAAACCATGGTTGGAACCATTGTTTGTTGGTATTTACAGGGGAATCGCATCTTTCCAGGGTTTCTTAGGTGGTGCGAAATGGATTTCGTCCATCCACTGCATCAGCCCAATGGTCATCTCATGGGGAAAGGCCTGTGGTGGAAGATCGACCCCCTTGTTGTGAAGGATTCCTTTTTGAGGGGGTCGCCAATGTTCTCACAAAGGTGGCAAAAAGACCCCCCTGTTATGATCAACCTCCACATGAAGCCTTCCGCGATGAGGGCAGACCCGGATGCCTTCCGGGTGGTGCCCAATGGCCAGGGCATACTCTGCTGCGGCTGCTGCTCGGCCGGAAAGGTTTGGAGCTGCAAGAGGTCGCGATGTGGGTGGCTCGTCCTTTCTTGGAGTTGGTACCCCTTTTTTGGTTGGTTTCAACGAGGAGCCAAGACCCTTGCCAATTTGGGGGCACCGATTACCCAGGTTGGACTTGTTTTGCTTTCTGCGTAGTCCCGAGTCCCTTTTGAGCTTGAAGCGTGCTCTACCGGCACAAGTTGCGGCACCGCCCCAAAAGCCAAGAAGAGAGAATCAATCAGGGTTCGACTTTTTGACTACCCCCGGTTAGACTTAAACTCTATCCGGGAGAAATCGACAAGTAGAACCCTGGATTCAATCGCCTTCCTTGAGGGGCGGTTTGCTGGAAAGAATTTGCCAAGGTCTCAAGCAGATTGTCCTCCGGGACGTCACGCCTGAAGCTCTGCGTGCTCGCAAAAGCTCACTGAGCCCTGGCCTTCGCTTGTTTCCCTGCAAGGCAGAACCCGAGAAAGGGCGGTCCCAAAAGCAGATGCCATCTGAAAACTTGGTGGCTCCCAGCCATCCCCTCAGCCTTTTCGCTTTTTAGTGTTCAGTGGTAGTTTCCATTTAACCCACCAAACAATTGTCACTTCTAGCGGGGGATCTGAGGGCATCCCAGAAAAATGAGGGTTTTTTCAGGTCCCGCGCCAATCTGAATCTGCGAGCCCGTCCGTTGCATCGAGGCCCTTGCCGCCGAAAGGCGCCATGACCGCCTCCGCCCCAGACCTCGAGGAGGCGCGCCTGCACGTGCAACAAGTGGCTCGAAAATTCCCCCGGGGAGGGAAATCTGCAGATTTGGTTGCTACAAAGGCGTTGGAGGGCCTAGTTTCAGCCACATCTCGGCATGGTCAATGTAAGAGAACCCCGGAGATCAGATTTGGGCAAGGTGATCAGGATTGGCTAGGCGAATGACCATCCTCCATACGGCTGTGGGTCAAAGCCCAAATCGTACCTTGTGTGAGCATCCCAATCCCCACTAAAATAGGTTCTAAAATGGGTGGTGAATTCACCTACCAAATTGGGATCCCAAAACGGTTTTGACCCATCCTCCATACGAGTGCAAGTTCAAAGCCGTGCAGGCAAGAAGAGCGTTCTTCAAGAAGGCCCCGCTGAAGCCGGCAAGTCGATGGGTGCTTCCCCCCCCCCGCATGTTGCTAGACCCAATGGCTGAGCCGATGCACATGTTTTCGGAATCTTGGTCGGGCAACGTTGAGAGACAGCGCTTTGCCACTTTCGTCATCCCATGAGCATCGTGCAACAGCGGGAAAGCTACAGTGCCAGTCGAATGAGCGTTTAGTCAACATTGTTTTAGCGCCACGGACTCTCATTGTTGAATGATGGAGAACAAGAACCATGCTACGGATGCTTTGCGCCCGACTTGTTTCACTGACGTATTGTTGTTCCTGCACAGATATGTGGCTTAGTCCAGTTTGGCGAGTTCTTCAAGAAGCCACTATGCCCCTTCTTCAACTTGATCAATATGTGTGTATATATATATATAGTTATTTTTGTATAGACAATATGCGAACTTGAATAGGGGAGTTGGAAATCATTTGCTTGGTGGCTCCCAGCCGTCCCCTTAGCCTTTTAGCTTTTCAGTGTTTAGTGGCGGTTTCCATCTAACCCAGTAAAAGTTCGTCACTTGTCGCGGGGGTCTGAAAACGGGCAGCCCAGTTAAGGGGTTCGTCGGTTCGCTTTTTTGAGGCGGCTGGAACCGCGCGATTTCAGGTCCGGTTTTTTAGCCCATCCGGTTTTGAGCCGCTTGCCCAGGGCCTGGGGGGCCGTCTTCAACAGGATGACAAGCGCCCGGCTCAAGGGCGAGCTGGACCTGGACCGAATCCTCGGGGCTCCCGAATGGAACGCCTGGGTCACCCGAATCACGTAAATGGGCCATGTGTCAAAATGGGGGGGGAATGGAAACTCAAACATCATACCCTTAGAACCGTTTTCACGTCTACTATGTCATCAAGACTATAACAAAACAAGATGAGCACCTGGAAGGTTGGTTCTACTACTCAGGTTTCCCTTTGTTGGTGGTTTGGATTTGGACTTGAAGCCCTGGTAAATGGGAACCCACTCTAACCGCCAAACCACCGGGCTCCAAACCACCAATTGGAGGGAAGCTGAGTAAATGAGCCCACCCGCAGTTTTTGTTCGTCCACCTTGGGCGAATTAAATGGGACCAGGCATTGCTTGCGATAGTCAGAGCTCTCCCGGGTGGATGGGAGATTGCGGTTGCCATTTAGGTTCCAGAACATGCTCTGGAACGACGCGAAAGACCCCTACCGGCTGTCCAAGTCCTGCCGGCGGAGTTGGGAGCATTGTGCGCTGGGGCGTAGCACACCGGGCTGGAGCATCTTCAGAAGTGTCGCACGCATGGGCACCAGCGTGCGCATTGGGTCGCATCTATTTTTTGTTCCAAGCCTGGGATGTTCGTGGCTTTTGTGCTTTTTGAGGGAAAAGCCCCGAGATGTCTCCTTTCTGGATGGTTTGAATATCACCTTGCGCCATCTCCAGTGCGCTTCCCTGTTCCCGCCAGGCTTGTGGCCGAGCCGGAGTTTCAGGTCATTCGCGATCCCAGAGCGATCCTCAGAGGCCCAAGCATGCAGAGAACTCACACTGAGGATGCTCTTCCCCTAGACCAGTTGAAGCTGCTTCAGCTAGTTGGTGCTTGATCGCAAGGCCTCCGACAGAACTGTAGCTGCTGAATTCGTAAGATTGTAGGCTGGAGCAATTTATTTGTTAGCTTACACAAGGCACAAGTCGAGGCAGTTGTTTGGCAGCTTTGACCGCAGCATATCTGCTCCTTGCTTGATATAGTGTTTGGGAAAGCGGGAGCGGGGGGGGGGGGCATGGCGACATGTTTGTTCCAGCGGCACACTGTTTTGGAGATGTTGCTCAGTTGTTCCGTGGCACCAAGTCTTTTTCCAACCCTTTTCTTGGCCGGCTGCCCCAAGAAACCCAAAAAGGGTCCAAGCCCGCCCCAACCAGGAACCGTTCCCGTCTTCGTTTTTTCTCCAGGGTCACCTGGTCACAAGTCGCAAAAATTGCTCGGTTTCGCGGAGCCCGAAATCCCGCGGCGCCGGTCCGCGGTCCGCCGAAAGATTCTCCCCGCGGATGCCGGGCGCCGTCGTCTTTTTCTTTTTGGGGGGGGGGGGTGGCTCACTGGGCGTGGCTCGAAACTAAAGAGCTGGGGTTACGGCAGGTTTTAGTCCTTGGTTCCATTTGCCAAGGGTGCCATGTTGGTGCATGTTTTTGAGCCACAGCGAACTCGTCGTTTCGGCTACCCTCCCCAGCAATGAACATGGAACCCGACGTTCTAGGAATCCTGGTTTGGACCAAATTTCCCCTTGCAAGAAACGCGCGCCCCGATCGTCCGGTTCCATGTGTTTTGTGGTGGGAGGCTACCTTACATTGCCGTCTTTTCCAGCAACATCCACTGAATGGCGACAGAGCCGCTATATTTTTTTGACAAAGACTCAACCTCCAAGATGTCCTAAGTGATGTCCACTGTAATGAGAAAGCAAACCCAGGCAACTTGTGTTTCACTAAAAGGGAGTGCAGTTGTATTTTTGTTTGTAGACAATTAACTAATATCAAATATCAAGTTTGTTTGAAATCCATTTATTCGTAGCAGAAGAGAGCTTGTCCAGTATCTTCAACAAAACAACATGTTGATCGTGCCTCAGCAATCATTGTCAACATTTTGGCCATGGGTCAAAATCCCGTGCCCCCAGTGAACATCCCAATCCCCACTAAAAACAGACTAAAATGGGTGCTGCACCAAAAAAAGGTACCATGGGTTTTGACCCACGGCCTTGGCACAAACTGCACCAGATCCAGCGGGAAGATCGCTTCCGAATGGACACAGAGCTGAGGCCCGAAGGCCGCGGATGCCACGCCGCGCGCAGGCGCAGCGCCAACTTCAGGCGAATGACCCCCGAAAGGATCGTGTTCCCCCCCAAAGATCGGAGAGGATCTCCTTCTTCATACCCTTCAAGCTCATGTCGACCCCTTCATCGACCTGTTTGATTCGTGGGGGGTGTTCCCCCAGAGATAGCATTAAAAAAAACCTCTTATTCAATGAATACATCTTAAATACCTCTTAGCAAAGTTGTTTGTTGAATACCTCTTCATCCTTGGGGTGCCCAGGAAAACGGCGGGATTCGATTCCGCGGCCCATTTTTTGCCCAGGCCTCCCGGCCCTGAAGACGAAAGGATTGGCGCGGGGCTCGGGAACTCTTTTTGGGTGTGCGGAAGGTTCATAGGTGTCCTTTTTAGGTGAGCCTGGTTTCACTGGTTGAGATGGGCTTTTTGTTCCATGTACCAGGGAAACCCATCTATTTTTCCAAAAGGCCACCTATGGGAAGGTTGGTTTGAAGGGAGAAAGCCACAATTGGTCGGGCGCGCCCCCCCATTTTGACACCTTCAAAAGCATCGCAGGTACGACAGGGATGCACGTTCAAAAGCCAAAATAAAGCCTGAGCAACGGCAATGTCTTCAATAAACCATGGGTCGAGAGGAGCCAAAATCAAAATGCTGCACTATCAAGGCGTCACAGATTTTCCCAACAGCTAAAGGTTGTGGCTCTTGGTTAATCTCATCATGGGCCTGCGGGGGGGGGGGGGGGGGGGGGGGGCAAACACGGCAATAAAGGTCCTATGTAAGGCTAATCTGGGCTCCCCCCCCCCCGACCCCTCCCAGCCCCTGTGAATCTCCCAGGAATGCACGCCTGATTCAGTAGGAAGGCCTATTGCACCGCTGGCGCAGTAACCACTGCCTGGGCCGTTCCGTTTTTTTCCGAGAGAAAAAAACGCGGGGCCATAGGGACCTATTCATTGGTGTCAGTGAAAGCACCCAGATCTACTTGGGGCCCGGTTGCTGTGAGGATTCTTGTCTCACAGCTTTCCCAAGATCCAACGCTACACCTCTCCCCAGACTCCGAATTTGTCTTGCTTGGTTCAGATGCTCACGGGCGGCAATACGATGCCTGCTTCAGCGGCGAGTGTGTGTGCACCTGTGCCAATTGCCCATCAGAATGGGGTTGCAGGACGCAAAACACTTGGACCAGAGCGGTTTGCCGACTTGGGTAAAGAGAGAGAGAGAGAGAGTTGCGGCTGATGATGTTGGTCTCACACATACGTCGCCGGTTTGCATCGGGAGTTGCCTGCGCTGCCATGACGCCAACACGCAGCCTGAAACATGAGGAAACTCTTGCAGCGCTCGGTGTTCCCTGATGCTGCCTGGACAACCGCTGTGCCAAAGAATTCTCAGCGCGCCTATGATTGAACGAATCCAACCAGCCTCCCTTTGCATGCTGCTTTGCAAAGACAGCAATACTTCCCTTGTCTATTTGAAGAGGAGTATATCTTAAGATCCTTGGGCGGAGGGTGCACTCCAAACGCAAGCGTGGCTTGCAGACATTTTGGCCTGGGGGGGAGGGGGAGCAAAAAATCGAGGTTTGCTTTGTGATCCCTTCCAACCAACCTTAAGCCTTAAAAGGGGGGGTACCGATGTAGGCTTTTTGGTTGTTTTGGTAGAAAACTAGGTGGCCCTGGTTTGCCTGGTGGTTTAATCATCGAGGGCCATCTATTTCTCGTAAAAGGAGACCGATGGATGTACCCTGCAACCAACACATCGTTGACATTTTCTCGCCACGGGCGCATTTGGTTCGGCTTGGCACCGGAGCTCTCCTGAGCTAATACGCTCAGATGTTGATGCTATGGCCAGAAAGGACTGGTACGAATGCCCTAAATATTGTGAACTCATTAATCATCAAAAACACACATCCGTAGTAAATTACAACAAAACTTGCAGGTTTCGTGGTTCGTTTGCATGCAATACTTAGGACATCCAGAGTAGGCGTGCTCATCGAGCCACGGTTTTAGACTGCGCTTCAGATGGTTCAGTTCCGCTGGGCCCACCAAGGGTTCCCAAGAAGAAACCCAGCCATTTGGAGATGTCTTGAAACAAAGGACCCCTAATAAACATGAAGCTTAAGTTGGTCTTTTTGTTGGGCTTTTCCAGGAAGGCAGAAGGGACCCGTACCCTCAAAACAGGTCATGTGTCGTTGTTTGTGCCGTTTGCACACGAAGCCTTCACTGGGGCCGAGTCTTGAGGCTTCCCTGAAGAGCTCCAGCCGAGATTTCAGGCCGGGGACCAAATCCGCGAACCGCAGGCAGGGGTTTGGGTGGCTGATGTTTCGCGGCATGGCTCCGAATCTGCTGAGTACCGAGCCAGAGCTCGCTTAGAGACGTAGGTCTTCAGTTGATTCCCGAACGTAACACCTTGGGAGCCGTTTTTGCTTCTTTTTTTCCGCTGGCGCGTTACAATGTGTCGTTCGCCGTAAATGCAACCTGCAACTGTCAGCAGATCGAGAATGCAGTTGGATACCAAGTAGCTGCGCGCTCGCAGCCACCACTTTTTCAACCGTGTGTCGTGTACACGGCGGCAGGGCAGGCGAAGAGTTTGGGAAGAGGTCTACGCCAATATGGGTATAAACTCTGACCCATGGAAGTGGTATACTAGCAAAAGGTAACTGGTATATAGAATCTGTGCCAATTTTGGTAGAAAATCAGACTCGGCAGAATCATGCCATGTACGTGTTTACCATAAACCAAGAAATGGCCATAAAACCATGCGCATTTCAGTGCCCAGTGTTTCTCAGATGCTTCACATGTGTTGCTAGCAAACACATGAGAAGCATGTGAGGAGCACAGAGCCATTATCTACAGATTCACACACATCCAGACTCATTGCTACACACATGAGGGTTGGTAAGTTGCTTGCATAGCTTCCACACATGTGCGTTGATTAAGTGCTTGATATGGTTACAATACAGTGAGCATTGGGTGGGTAGGCACTATGGTTGTGACACGCATGTGGTGCGTTGTTTGCCCTCATTGGTTACATGTGTGCTTGTGTGTGTGCATGTTCATATTACTGAGAAGATTGACATGTGCTTCTGACATGAAACTCCTGTGCTGAAGAGCTGAGCACAGGAGTGGCATGTCCAAAGCACATGATACATGCCAACATGGAACATGCCCTGGCGCAAGCAGCAGCTGCAGCGGCTTGCCCTGCAGCATGAGGAGGTCTGCCTGGCGCATTTGCGAGTACAGCTGCATGTTTCAGAGCGCATGGCTTCTTATCACGAAAGGTAGCCTCGGGGAGGCTTCCTTGAGTTTTTCCTTGCGTTAGCAAGGCTTAGGAAGAAAGGGGGTCTGGGGGGGGGGTCCTCCAACGCAACCCTTGAAATATCAATCCGCACCCCTGAAAATCAACACCCCCCCGTCCCGGGTTCGACTCCTCCCTGGTCCGCCCTCGGGTCTGCCCTTCCGCCCGCTGGCGTTTGGGTCGAGCGGCAGGAGAGCGATTTGCTAAAGGCATTACGGCAGGCGAGCCGCCTTCTGCCCCTGCGGCATTGGCCGGCCAGGGGTTTCACTAGTCGGGGGTTTCACTAGTGTTGTGTGTTGCTCTGTCATTCCCTCCATTCCCATCGTTATTGCACAAACACGAGCAAGTTGGACCGTACAAAGCAGCGATTGCTCTGCCTGCGTGCGAGCCTTCGGCCATAGGCAGGGGGCGATCGGTTGTCTCACGGTGAAAGGGGCAATTCCCTTTGCTCTTGCCTCTTTGGCGCAGGACATGTCACTAGCTGGTTTTCACTGCATGTGGATTGCTTCAAATGGGCAAAGTCATAAGAGGAAAGGTTGGGCCAGACAAGGACCTTTTGCTTGGGGTTGGATTGCTTCGAAGGGGCAGAGTCGTAAGGTTTGGTGCAACTCATGTTATCCGGAGAGCGTGCTTAGGAGGGCGCAGCAAGGATTGGCAAGCGAGGTGTCGGTGCCATATGCCAGGCTGCAGCGAAAGCGAGAGGCCGTTGCCTCCCTCGAAAGGCATAGGCAAGTGCCGGGGAGCTTGGCAAGTGCACCGTGGTTCAGGAAGTCAGCAAGGGTTAGAGGCCAAACAAGGCCATTTTGCTTGGGGCTAAGGGCGAGGAGTTGGAGTCGTAAGGTCAGTTGACCGTGCAGGAATTGATTTCTGTGCAGAATACCAAGACGCAGAAGCAGATTCAGGCCCAACGAACCGTGTGCAACTCTCCATTTGCTACGGTGGATGCCCTAAATGTTGCAAGTATGGGCACAAGGAAGCCATCTAGTTTACCGTAAGTTTCCATGGTTTTCTGGTTATGGTTGGTTTACTTGCAATATTCAGGGCATCCACCTGCGAAGACAAGGTTGTATTTGTATCTCGTGAGGAAGGATGAGCCATTTGAGGCACGTGACCAGAAGGAGGCCGAACGATTTCTCGTGTGCTCCATGGGCTTCCATTTTGGCTCCCCATTGGAACGTAAACTGCATGCAGAATCCATCACCCCATTGTATGGGTGTGTCTTTTTTAGGATTTGGACCTCCAAATGTTGGTGGTTTTCCTTTTGGTTTCCTTTAAAACCAACAAAAGGGGTGCCAACTCCAACAATGGACACGCCCATATTCGTGGGAATTCATGGACCTTCTAAAGGCCGCTCCCTTTTGATCAATCGATGAAGTTGAGTCGAATCGAAGATCAGTGTGCGACAGACGTCATGGACAGTCTCTGCAAATGCAAACGGCATGCGTTTTCGCTGGGCGACGAATGCCATCACATCCCCGGTGTTCACCGTGGCAACACACGTTGATGGCTGCAATCCTGAAGTGACGCGTGTGCGTTGAGTCTGCCGAGATGTTTCCAGGTAGAGACGGAGGACATGATCGCCAAAATGAAAGCTGACACCAGCATGGGCATGAAGATGTACAGACGGGAGGCCACCAATCTGCTCGCAATAATCGGGTCTGTCTTTTTTTAGGGAACCCCTTTTTGGTTGGTTTTAAAGGGAAACCAAAAGGAATACCACCATTTTGGTGGGTATTACTTTCGAACGACGGTTTGAGAAGTGTCTAATTTCTATTGGATGAATTGCTCGTTTTTCTGCTGTTGGCAGGAACTCATGTCCATGTCCGAGGGCGACATGGAAACTATGGCTGCACGAGAGGCCGAGGATTCTTTTGCGTCGCAACGGCCAGCACACATGGCCAGTGTGTAGAGCTTATTCAATATGTGACTGAAAAAATGGAAACCCCAAAATGGCACCTTGGCATATGGAAACAAAGGCTAACACCTGCGTAACCCCTGCTATATACAGTGAGAGACTTTGCCTTTGACTTCTGATTTCCCCATCAGACACGTCCAATGCTTTTTTAAGCAGACCAGCTGTAGCATGTGCACAGCCAACATGTCAAAACTTTCGTACGTCTCTGACTCGATGAAGTTTAGAGTTTCCAGTGTCGAAGCACACTCGGCCAGCGAATTCAGAGAACAAAATGAGATACATCGTGAATCAGAGGTGAGTTTCGTGCAGTTGCTCTCGCTTCCTTCCTCTGCTTTTCTCTGCTTTTCGATTGCAGTATGGTTTTTTTCTCGCGGTGGCCGCCCACTGAAATCTCCCAATGGCAGCCACAGCCACAGCAGCAGCTGCTGAGTTGAGCGCTTCCTTCCAGATCGCCGGCTAATCCGGGCCCTGGGGGAAGGGCCCGGATTTTTCCCCAACATCTTCAGCATCACCAGGAGGCATACTGATAATGACGTCCACGCATCCTTTGCATCTCCAGTCACTTCACAATCATCATGACGCATCCTCAGCATCACCAGCAGTCATCATGATAATCATGTCCACGCATCTTGTGCATCTCAAGTCGCATGATAAGCATCATGACGCATCCTCAGCATCACCATAAAGGATGATGACCTTCATGATGATCATGAAGCAGCTGCTGAGTTGAGCGCTTCCTTCCAGATCGCCGGCTAATCCGGGCCCTTGGGGAAGGGCCCGGATTTTTCCCCAACATCTTCAGCATCACCAGGAGGCATACTGATAATGACGTCCACGCATCCTTTGCATCTCCAGTCACTTCACAATCATCATGACGCTAATCCGAGCCCTTGGGGAAGGGCCCGGATTTTTCCCTATTTGGGAGGGTTTCGGCGTGTCGAGCTTGGAGCCTTGTGCCAACCTTTTTTGTTGCGCTGGGAGCTTTTTGGCAGCCGTTTTGGGGCTGAGGGCGAGGACCCCCAAAATGACTTCGGTTTTCAACTTTTGGTTTCCCTTTAAAACCAACCAAAAAGGGGTACCATCAAACAAATACACACCCAATGTGCTTTGTAGGAAATCGGTGAATTTTGTATTTCTCAAGAAAGCTTTCGGACATGACAGCGACCTCACTTTTGTTAGCAGCGGTGCCCATAGATTAAGCTCTTCATTTGATGAGTTCTCTGGCAGGTTTGCAAAAAGATCTGCGGGAAGGAGCGGCCAAAGATTGCAGATTGGGCCGCATCCCAGTATGCCGTGTAAAAGCCGTGCCCATGGTGACTTCATTGGATCAGCCACACTGGCGTTTTCGTTTGTGCGACTCTCCATTTGCTACGGTGGATGCCCTAAATGTTGCAAGTATGGGCACAAGGAAGCCATCTAGTTTACCGTAAGTTTCCATGGTTTTCTGGTTATGGTTGGTTTACTTGCAATATTCAGGGCATCCACCTGCGAAGACAAGGTTGTATTTGTATCTCGTGAGGAAGGATGAGCCATTTGAGGCACGTGACCAGCAGGAGGCCGAGCGATTTCTGGTGTGCTCCATGGGCTTCCATTTTGGCTCCCCATTGGAACGTAAACTGCATGCAGAATCCATCACCCCATCGTATGGGTGTGTCTTTTTTAGGATTTGGACCTCCAAATGTTGGTGGTTTTCCTTTTGGTTTCCTTTAAAACCAACAAGAGGGGTGCCAACTCCAACAATGAACACCATATTCGTGGGAATTCATGGACCCTCATCCGGGCCCTTGGGGAAGGGCCCGGATTTTTCCCCAACATCTTCAGCATCACCAGGAGGCATACTGATAATGACGTCCACGCATCCTTTGCATCTCCAGTCACTTCACAATCATCATGACGCTCATCCCCTTGGGGACGGGCCCGGATTTTTCCCTATTTGGGAGGGTTTCGGCGTGTCGAGTTTGGAGCCTTGTGCCAACCTTTTTTGTTGCGCTGGGAGCTTTTTGGCAGCCGTTTTGGGGCTGAGGGCGAGGACCCCCAAAATGGCTTCGGTTTTCAACTTT